CAAGAAACTGCTTTGTGATTTGTGATACAACATTTCTGTGTAATTCAGGGTATTTCATACTGTTTTATTTTAGTGATGTACCTATACTACTTTATTTTAGAATTTGCACCACCCTGGGATTGTGAACCTGGAATGTATGTTTGAAACCCCAGAACGGGTCTTTGTTGTGATGGAAAAGCTGCACGGGGATATGCTAGAGATGATTCTTTCTAGTGAGAAAAGTCGACTTCCAGAACGCATAACAAAGTTCATGGTCACTCAGGTTGGCATTCAGTCTCTCTACTTTGAGTGGAATGGCTAGATTTGTCCTTTTTAATTGTATGAGAATGGAGTTTGGAGAAGGTTTTTTCTGTATTATTTAATAGAGATAGCACGGAGAGCTGCACATCTAATAAAAGTTGAATAAACATGGAAGGAATTTTGAATGTTAATTATGTTTTTTTTTTTGTTTTTGTCTTTCTTTCCCAAGATATAACATTATGGATATCCAAAATGTATGTCAAAGCAGAAGGCATTCAAAAGGCAGAGAGGGAGGAGGGGAAAAAAAAAAAACCACCAAAACCAGGAAAATAACCCCCATCAGTTCCAAGTATTGATAGACTGAAAAAATAGTACTTGCACTGTATTTATGAGTGCAATTCTTGATGACTCTGTTGATACCAATTACTGTATTGGTCAGTGTGTGTGGCTTTTGACACTTTCAGATCTGCTTGAATAGTTCTGAAAATCTTCTTTCCTTTTGGTAGATACTTGTTGCGTTGAGGAACTTACACTTCAAGAATATTGTGCACTGTGATTTAAAACCAGAAAATGTACTACTAGCATCAGCAGAGCCATTTCCTCAAGTGAGTGAAGACTGAAAAATACTTTTCATCACTTTTAATTGTTCTTTTTTGAAAGAAATACAGGCATTGTAGCTTAAAGTGACCTCTTGTGGGATTGTTCAATTTGGTCTAGAATTACTTGAACTACAAGTACTGTGTTTGTTTTTTCTTCCTTCCAACTCTTAGCCTAGCTTTATGCTCAATGGTCTGTTTCAGTTTCTTTCCCCTCAGACATGGATCATGTCTCACAACAGTACTGTGCACCAGCATTGTTTCTTCCAAGGAGCCTGAGAAGTACAACTACTGCCAGCACTTAGCAAAAGGCTGTGTAGACTGCATCTGTTTTTATGCTTGCGAAGAGTGCATGGAAATTTGGTGTTCTGGATTAGTGAGAATTATTCAAGTGGAAAAGGCACAGGACTAGAAGCTTCAAGACTGGTCATTGTTTCTGTGCCAGTGCTGTTTGACCCTGAGAAACAATTTCTTCACTGTTGTGCATCTCCTTCCCTTCCTTGCTCTTGTCTGTGTTGCTTATGAGCTATTGTAAAGAGGGACTGAACAAGACCATTTATCACTAGTCTTGCTCAGGGACCTTCATCTTCAGTATGTAATATAAACTAAATAGCTTATTTCTGTAAGAGAAATGCTGTTCAGCAATATTAGTATTTAGGTTCTGTCAACACTTACCCCAGTCAACTATTACCTTAGCTTAGTATTTAGATGTCTTAGTATCTAAAGATCCTAAGTATCTTAGATGCCTTATTAATTACCTTATTATGTTTTTTGTGGAGTATATAAAAAAAACTAAAAGCTGCTAGGCAACATCAGGGAATTGCTTCCAGTTCTGTGACATTAATGTAAAGTGGAGTGAACTTTTGGAGAGTCACTTTGTATGCCTTTAGTACATTGCTCTTTCTTATTAGCGGAGGGCTTATTAACTTGGGGTTAGCGCTGGACTTGATCTGGATCCTTTTATCTGTACAAGTGCCTGCTGTGTTAAGTTAGGGAACCATCCCAGAGCCATCAGGATTTGAACATCAGTGCAGGCACCAGTTGTTGCTGCTTTTACCTGGATGAGTATTGAACTGTTCTGTCCAGAGCTGGCTGGGTCCAAGTTCTAGCTAAACCTTATTGTTTTGATTTCTGTGTAGCAGAAGCCTCCAGTTTGAGGAATATTGTTAAGAGGAATGTGATCTGGCTGGGATTCATGTGCTTTCTAAATTTTGGTTCTGTGCCTTGTGAGGGTGTGGATTTGCCTCTGGGAATGAGCTGAGCTTGGAATCAAGTATTGTGTCCTTATCTGCACACTTGTTGCCATGTACTGCACAGGCTGCCTCAGACCTGAATCTGTGCAAGGCCAGTTCAGGTCTTGGCCTGAAGCATGGTTGAACCTCAGTCTGTGAAACCAGCAACCTAAAACCTTAACGGGCTTGCTTACATAATGTTTTGTCTTAGTTTTAATGTATACAATGTTTAAATAATGGCAGAAGGGGTATCAAGTACCACTCTGGTCTTGAGCAGTAGCATACTTTGGAGATCAAGGAGAGATTTCTCAGTTTAAAATGTATTTCTTTTGCAGGTAAAGCTGTGTGATTTTGGCTTTGCACGTATCATTGGTGAAAAATCTTTCAGGCGCTCTGTGGTGGGGACACCTGCTTATCTTGCCCCTGAAGTGCTCAGGAGTAAAGGTTACAATCGCTCTCTAGACATGTGGTCAGTAGGAGTTATTGTCTATGTGAGCCTTAGTGGTACATTCCCATTTAATGAAGATGAGGATATAAATGATCAGATTCAAAATGCAGCATTTATGTACCCACCAAATCCTTGGAAGGAAATTTCTAGTGAAGGTAAAGAAATGAATTTTCTCTGTTAGAATGTCTTTATATGTAGATAATGCATTCAAGTGCTTAAACTTTAAGGCTTATTCAGATAGGAAGTAAGAATTATTGATAGTTTGAGTTTAGTAGACAATGCCAAAATGGATAAATATGAGTTGGGATATATTTGTGAAAGATAAATTGCCAAATATAATGGTTTAGATCACTTTCATGGCAGGAGGAGCCAATAGATTTAGCAAGAAAAAATTGCATGCATGAAGAGTGGGATGAATAACCTGAAACTTCCCCATATTCTCAATGAAAAGTTAAATAATGTGTATTTGTTGAATGCTGATGTAAAAACATACTTTATCTGAACTATAATAACAGAAATGGTTCAGAGTTGGATCTGGAGTTTCAGTTTTGTATGTAGGCAAGTGAAACAAAACCTGGATCTAAATGTCAGGTCTGAACAAGCTAGTTTACAAGGTTGGTCTCTGGAGCTCTCCAGTGCCAGCTTTGTTACTAGTAATGTATACATGATTAACACACAGGTAGATGTGGAAGGACATACACAAAGGCATACAATAGTGGAAGTACCTGCATCATTTTGAAACACAGGATTGTGCTCAAGTTATTTAGGCACTTCTGAAAATCACAAAATCAGTAGGGAAAAAAATTAATGAGTAATACAATAATGCTGTTAGTGTTTTTATCAAAGCATTATGGGAACCCCATACCTATTTTGTAGCCTCATTTAACATAAGCAAAGCTAAGTATAAAATTCAAGAGCTTGATTAAGTTTAAAGGAGTTCAGTAGGATATATATATATACACATATACAAAAATTCACTTTCACTGCAGCATGTGAGTGATAAGAGGTGATTAGTATTTAAACAATATACTTTTTGTTTTGTTCTTCTTTGTCAGCCATTGATTTAATAAACAATTTGCTTCAAGTGAAGATGAGAAAACGTTTCAGTGTTGACAAATCCCTTAGTCACCCATGGTTACAGGTAAATCCATCTGCCTTTTTCACTATGTTTATAATGGGAGAATAATGATTTTTTGGGGATTAAATCCCTCAGAGGCTTATTAAAACTGCTACTATCAAAGTCAGTTAACAGCCATTCATGGTGGCCTGAGTATTTCTGGTTTTAGCTTTACATTTTATGTGATCCAGGATTCTGCCCACCTGTTGATGGCTCCTTTCCTCAAGGAAAATTTTGTCTTGCTGTCTCTCCTGCCCCTTTCTTTCTGTCTGACACCCAGCATAGAGTTATACTCTCTGGCACCTCTCCTGAATGCAGGCAGTGACGAGTGCATGGAGCCCCAATGAAATCAGAATACATTGTTCTGTACTGAAGTGGACACACAAGATGGTGTGTGCTATAACTTGTAGTCTTTCTAGAACAGAATTGTTTGGAATGGAATTTATCTGCTGCTTTAGCACGGGTTCCCTTCACAGTGGTTTCACAATACTGTATGCACACAAATAACAGACTTAAAAGACACTAAGGGGAAAATCCAATTAATTTTGAGCACAAACAATACTAGAATAACTTAATGTGTGTGTATATATACAATTAATTTTCTAATAAAGCTAAGATAGCTGTCTTGTTACAAAAAGTTTTAATGATTTACAATATTACAACCTTAGATACTAGCCTGTTTAAGTTTGAACCATTCTTGGTGGACACTCTGGGGTATTAGGGGCAGTGTGGTTGCTTTTTGTTTTCTTTTTTAACAGACCTTGCTGATTATATCTTGTGGCTGTTTATATGAAAAGTAGACACAATTTGCAGAATTTATCTGGGAATATGGTGCTGCTGTCTCTTAAACTGCTTCCTTAAGCATCTTTTACTCCTTAGGATTATCAGACTTGGCTTGACCTCAGAGAATTTGAGACACGCATTGGAGAGCGTTACATTACCCATGAGAGTGATGATGCACGCTGGAAAGAACACGCTTATGAACACAACCTTGAGTACCCCCAGCATTTCATTATGGCTCCTAATCCAGATGACATGGAAGAAGACCCTTGATTTATTCATTATGTCAAATTGCAACAGAGAAGGACACTTCCAGACAGAAACTGAAGATAAGTTTTGGAGCAACTGTTGTTCTTTTGTGAATGCTGTACACATAGTTCAGTGTGCAAAGCCCCAGGGGATCCTGCATTGACATGGAAATAGACTGTCATCTGACAAGCTCTTCTCCATTTCTGACTTAAACTATGAGTAGTTACTGGACAGTGGGATAAGTCCCATTGGGTAACATTTCACCAAGCTGTGTGGCTGCAAAGCCATTACTGAGGTGTAATGTAAGGTTTTTTTTTTTTTTTTTTTTTTTTTTTTTATTCATAGCCTATGCAATAAGAATTTTGTAATGGTTTTCTAATCCCTATTTACTAGGCCATAGAGGACTGTTTTCTGTTACTTAGATACATTTCCCGTTTCCTAAACTGTGCATGGTGAAAAGAGACTGTAAAAATAAATCAGCGTGGAATACCTTGGCTAATAGCAAAACATGGTGGTTTAGGTGAAATACAGCTTCATAGATGAAGGAATAATTTGCTGCTCTTAAGACAGTTAAATATGTGTGTCTTTGCCCTAACTGAACTTTTTCCAGATATCCAAAGAAAAGAAAACCCTGTAACTTCTTACATTCTTCTTGAAATGCTGGCTGACAATCTGAAGAGATGACAATCAAAGCTATGCTAGTCCTTTATTTTGTATGTTAAAAAGGAGCAATAAGCCACAACAGTGTGTTGCTGTGCAAGGCTGGCAGCACACATCATTGTTACACACCAAAAGTGTTTTGCCTTAAAACTTGCAAGTAAGGCACAGAGATCATACAAGACTTGATGTAGCATATCCTTTCACTCTGAAAAAACAGCTTCTAGGAGAAGGATGTGGAAGAGTAGGGAAAAATACATGCCACATTCTTCTGTTGTTTTCAGTAATTAGATTTTTAAATTTTTCTGATGTTTTTCTAATGTGTTTTAAGGTTCCCTGGACTTACATCAGGAGTTTGTAGCCTGCTAGCTTGTATCTTAACTGTGCTCAAAACCCCTAAGTCACCGTGGATATCAGATCACCTGTTGTTTCTGCCAGGGCAGCTGCGTTGTAGGAGAAAGGGCTTTGCCTTCTGACCTTAACCTGCAGCTCCTCGTGTCCTTATTGTGCTCAGTGTTGTTGTTAGAGCTGAATGAAGAGTCCAAGACCAACTCCAAATTCAGTTTTTTATGCAGATGCTTCAGCTGATGGATTCCCAACCACTTACTGGACTTGTGGCACAACAGAGAAGCAGCAGCAGTGTTCTTTGGAAATGATTCCCTCAGAGGACAGTCTAACAGTTAAAGTTCATGGTATTTCAAAGAAGTTTGAGGCCATGAATGCTAAATGCAAATAGAAGAGGGGCTTTTTTTTTTTTTGGTCATATTTTAAAAAATGGAAAAGGTGAAATCTTTCCTTTTGCGTGGGATAACAGCACTGTGCTGCTGGAAGGTGCTGAATGGCTGTACATATATCCCTGATGTGCCAAGCTGCTTAACTGGAGCTTGGTTTGAAATACTTTTTAAAATATTGAAACAGGCTTGAACTGCAAAGTCAATGAGAAGCTTTGGAGTATCTCCTCTCCTACAAAGATTTTCTTTTTTTTGTGTGTAGATAAGTAATTTTTTTCCTATTGTTATTCAGGGAAGGAAGCAGGTGAGCAGACTTATTCTGATAGATATGCATAAAATCTTACAAGGTTATTTCAGGGCTGGCAGCTGCTTGCAGTGAGTGACCTGGCAGCGAAGTCAGTGGCAGTCACAGAAGTATGTACGTGCAGGTAGGCTTGGGTCTTTAACCCAGCTTTTCTTTTCCTGTTGCCCTTAATCTAACTGCCACTGCATTTGGTAGGTGTCTAAGTTGGTTAAGGCTGAACTCTGGTTTCCCTGTAGGGATATACCAAACTTCCTACAAGGCCTTGGTGCAACCTGTATGGCAGTTTCCTACAGCCAGCAGTGGGCAGAGTGTTTCAGCCCTTCTGCCCACCATGTGTTCTCTCTCCTAGCATGTGTTTTTCTCAGGTTGTGCGGGGGACTTGCCTGATGGCAGTCCGTGCCACTCCTACACTGGGGGTCATCCTCCCCCTTCTGTGGCTGTCAAGGCAGTGCAAAGCAGCTCCACAGGGGCAGAATTTGTCCCTTAACCTCACCTGCCTGTTAAGGCAGGGTTTTGGACCTGATTCTTCAGAGAGGCACTATTTCTCATCTTTGGAACCAGAACAATCACTGATGAAGTTAGTAGTCTGGTATTTGCCCAGGCTTAGCAAGGGAAGCAGTGCTTTTTTTTTTTTCTTTTTTCAACTTCCACAGCTCAAGTGACTAAATTTCAGTGAAATTTCATGTTATCTTCCATCCTAAATGTAATAATGTAGAGTCTAGTTTTAAACTTCAGATTTTATACTTGAGCTGTCACTTCAGGTTTTCTTATAGGTTTTGTTGTTTTTGATAAGGGAGAAAATAAAGCCAGCTCAGTCACTTGAAAAAGCACAACAGGAATGGAAGGAGGAGGGGACAGTAACGAAGTAGAAGGCCTAGCTGCTGTCTCTCCCCATGAAGTCTGCTCTGTTCCAAAATATTATATGAGCTATTTATTCTTCAAGTTGTATTAAAAAAAATGCTGTTGGTCTTTGGAGGAGATTGTCTGACCATATATGCAGACTTTTAGGGCCAGACACTAGAAGCCCCAAGCAGCTAATAGTTGAGGAGCCAAAAAAAAATTAGACATACATTAGGAGTAACCTTTCTTCAGAGTAGTAAAAATAGCTGAGTTTTTTTATTCCCTTTTTTCCTACCTTTACTGCAAATTTGACAGCAGTAGGTTACAGTGTTTAATAACCTTTCTCCTAGATGAATTAAGTTGCGTTCATTCAAGAAATAGTGCTATGATGATGCTAGAAAAAAGCTCATGTAAAGTTTATAGCCTCAAAAGGACACTGTCAAGTACTTTTATATTTTTATACATCCCATTGTTTGTAAATATCCTCTGATAAGCTTGAAAATAAAATTTATTTCCCTACCAGACTTCTTTTTTATTTACACAAATTCTCTCCTTTCAAATGTTCTTAGCAAATGGTTCTTTATACTTCCTTGTGTGTGGATTTGTCATTAGATATGCCTTGTTACCAGAATTCTGTTAGCAGATGCTTTGGAACTAATAACTCTTTTTGCATGGTTCCTGTCACTATTCTCTTCATAAACATATCTTCAGAAATGTCAAGGCATTTCCTTTTAAGCAAGTACCAAAGCTGAGTACTTTTAAACGATTTGCTGATGAGTTTTAACTTGACTTCACTAGTAAATACTTTACTCCCTCTATTGTAAAAACCCCTGAAACAGTGTTCGTCCTGTGTATGCTGGTTTCTCTACATGTGGTGTTTGATATCTACACATACTGCTTTGAGGAGGTCAGTCAACAGGTTTAATGTGCTGCACTGGATTTACTCTGAAGTAGCACTCTACCACAATGGGGCTAGGCCCTCAAGTGTGGAGTGGTGTGAAAAAATTGCCTGGAGCAGTAAAGTGACATTTTATGTGCCTTCAGGTCGAAGATAAATCGAAATACTTAGTTCTTACCTTACAGCTACCTTATGGCATATGCTGTATGCCAATTACATTATTACAAAACCTTTAGTAAACTATAAAATGCAGGACTCTATTCCTTTTACATTGATTTTCTTTTTAATTTATTAAATAAAGTTGCTATTGAAAGCTACAACTATCATACATCTTGCTATAATCTTTGAAATTACTTCAGTAAGAGTTCACCAAATCCAGCAACAGGTGGTAAGTGAGCCTTTGATTCTGGCTTATGTTTCTTGTCAGGATGTACAAGTCTGTGGTGAGGCAGCAAGGCAAAAAATTTAAAACAGTCCCCCATTTTCTTGGGGTTCATCAGCATATCATAACTGTGAAGTAACTGCTCCCGAGTTGCTGTGTCACGTGAATTCTGCAAGAGCACCTAAAAAAAAGAACATCGGTTATAGCCCTTCCTGCTTTCCTATAAATTCCCTCATACCTGCAATCTCTTGCTGCATCCTTTTTGCTTATACTAATGTAACAGCACCATAATGTTCAGCAGAACTGGTGAGATCCCTGGTGGAACACATACACTGATGTATGTAGCAAACGTTGCATTATATACTCCTAAATATAATATCATCCATTTACTTTAGGGGATCCAGAGTAACTTATGTCTAGGAGAAGCAACTCTGATCTCATACATACATGTTGTTTTGAACAACTCTTTCAAAAGCAGATTTTTATAAAAGCTCTCTTGCTGCTTAAGAGTATTGCTTGTGGATTAGGAGGGTTTATGCACCTGTTAGTACTATTGTACCTGCAATCGGAGGTCAATGCCCATGTTTTTTAAAAACTCCTGCTGTTTTATGGGGCCTAGCGTGGCTGTTCTTCCCTGTGTCATCTTCCGAAGATAGCTGAAATCAACATCCGCTGTGAGGTCTGCTGTGCCTGGAGCTCTCAGCACATCGTGAAGTTTGTGATTCCGAAAACCCTGAAAAATTAAATTGGAAGATTATATTCTGCCGTACTGCAAGCTACCACGGCTGGGGCTAGCAAAGAGTAAGTTCTGTGTGCAAGGGGTGAGAAGGGCAAATTATACTTTGAAAGTTTGAGATAAATGCAGCAAGGGCTCAGATTAACCTTTCCATCTGACAGAAACCCTTATGGGTACTGATTAAGAACTCAGTTACTCAGTTTTATGACTGCAGCACAATGCAGTTTTTGCTATTGTGTCCATCCAAGACCTTTCTCATACAAGAACCTAATGATCCAAGCGACAAACAAAAGAGAACGGTATTTTGGCTTATTATTTCAGGGTAAATGACTTGCCCGGAAAGTGTCAGTTTTGGTTCCATCATGACCGTAATCAGCAACCAGTGCGGCCCCACCATCCTTTTCTATACGACAGGCAAGCCTCTGAATGATGACACCAGCCTCGGGACACACTTCCACATGATCTCTTGTTTCTTCAGGCTAGTGCATTAAAACACCTGTATTAGCAAACAAGTATGGGACAAGAGTTCTTCACACTCAATGTCTTGGGACTGTCATCACTTCACTGGGGCACAGAGGTCCAGGGCTGTATTCTAGGCTATCTAGAGCTTGAGCTAGTTTTTGGTAAGTCATTTTCAATTAGTATTCTCTGAATACTGGATTTCAGTCATCTCTTCCATAACCTAGTCAACTGAAATCAATGTTTTTCTAACAAGAATACCTGCATCAGGTGAAACTGCATTACTGTGGTGCTGAAAGAATAAAAATAGTTCAGCTGTGCACACCCTTCAAAAAGGCCTTTTGATGTGAAAATGTAGTTGGTTTTAATCTCAGCTACTTCATTTTGTAACTTTAAGAATCCAGTGAGCTTTAGCAAAAAAAAAAAAAAAATCTTAGACACTTTTCCTTACAGGTCAGTATAGCACAGAAGTACCCAGCTGCACCAAGTACATGCACATCAGGGTGAGAGCCTGGCTCAGGCAGGGCCACTGCTGAGATGGTGATGTGACACACTCAACTCCCTGCCACTTGCTGCCTCAAATTGTTCTCCGAAACATTCTGTTTATGCTCTGATTTTGCAAAGTTTGACACGTGTTTATTTTTGTGCTGTATTTTCCCAGCGTACAAAGTTAAACACTCGTGGAAGTTTTGCAGAACAGAAATGATAAGCTTTATTCACTCATTTATAGACCAAGAGCCCTCCTCTTGCTGTCAAAGTAACCGAGAAGCAGTAAATGCACTTGAAAGAGCAAGTAAAGATGTATGAACTCTAGTAGGCATAACCTTACCTGAATAAAGTTTTCTGTCGCAGGGGTACTGGATGGCGACAAGACAAACCGCAGCTGGTCAGGAACTTCTGGATCTATATCAACCAACACTTCACGCCAGCCTTTCTCTGTTCTCTGTTTAATGAACCCAGAGCACTCATTTTATGCTCTAGTGGGTAGATACAGTATCTTGGGTTTTGAAGTGAACTGATGTGTCCAGCATTTTCACAAAAGTTTTAAGAACATTATATGCTATTAACAGTTATTCATTCCTATTTAATTCTGCTAACTGGCTTTAAAGAAGTCTATGGCAGAGAGCTGTCTGCAGAGTCAACAATTACAGGTTTAATTACACTTGAATGAATGATGCTGTTGATAAAAATGCTGCCTCTTCTACTGGCAGTGCAATGTTTAACTTATCAAAATAATTCATTCTACCACTGATTTTCATAAACTAATTATCAAATTGAAGTTGAACATTTCTTCTGAATCCTAACTAACCTTTATTTTGCTATTATCATTACCATTCGGATAAAAGCCCTTCTGTCTTAGTAGTGATATATAATGTTAAAATTAAAAACTTATTAATGTAGTATAAAAAATAAGAAAAAAACCTGAGACTTATCTAAGCAAAAAAGAAATCTTTAGCCTTCTACAAGTTTTTCTATTCAAGAGCAATTATTAATTTTGCAGTTACCAGTTGAATTAAGCCTTATTTTTCCAGGTTCAGTTAGAAATATTTTACCACCATAAGCAATGCATGTGTCTAGTTTGGCACCATAATTCTACTCTTCAAAGAGAAAAGACATTTAAGTGGATGGTCACAATTATGATTATCTTCTTACTATACCTGAAACTTATGTATTGGCAGGGCATCAAAAAACTCATGTGCCAAGTAAAAGCTGTAACCTGTGGGAAGGTGAAAAATAATGTGTTAGATTATTAATGCTTCCACAGCAGCTTCCAGTTGAAAATTAAAATGTTTTAATGAATTTTAATGAATTAAATTTGTTCCTGTGGTTGTGAAATAATTATCATTACCTCCAGTTTGGGTACATCAAAGACAGCATTTCTACAGCTAGCTCTAGCTTCCAGCCATGAATTTTTAGATCAGTATCTCATAAAAGGAGATTCAGGCAAAGCAAGTAAATGGTTTCCCATGAAAAGTCAAAATAGTCAAAAGGTAGTCAGAATAGGTAGCGGTTCTGAGAATGAGTCAAGATCCTGCCTCAGGCTCACAGAAGTAGTAAGAACAAATATGTACATTAACTACTTTTCTATCCATTATGAAGACTAGCAGAGACATCCTCCGTTATTAAGAACTGCAAATGGAGGAAGGACACCATCCCTGTAACAAGACTTTCAGCTCCTCACCTGGTGGCACATCTTGAATGTCTCTGTACCAGAAAATGGGAATTCCAGTCTTGCTAATGCCTTTCATGTAAGCAGACTTGTCCTCGGGGTTTGATTGCACCTTCCCTCCTGTCAGCATCAGCGCTTGGGTCTCACTGAGTTTGGGACTCACTTCTACCAGATGAATAGAGACATCACATTTACTAAGTAAAGAGGCAAGCTGGTTGAAGACCTATAAAGGCAGATGAATTCTATTAGGCACAGTCATGTGCTGTATATATTAAAGGTTTCAGAATTAACCTTTAATCTCAATATTTATTTTCAAGATAAAATATTTAGTTGGCTTTCATTTAACAAAACAGTGTCAGCAAAAGAGACTGCTTTTTGCTCCTCCAGAAGGAAAAAGTAATTTTTTCATCAATTCAATATCAGCTGCTCTGCACAGCACACATTATATAGTTGTAAGGACATGAAACGCTAATTTAGAACAGTAATAGCCGGAGGGTGAGTAGCTCCTCTAATACCTGCAGAGGGTTTAGCATTGGAGACACCATAAACAAAAAGTGCTCAATATCCTACATTTCACTGTGGTTATTAGTTCTTTTTCATTAACTTATGTAAATAGAATACAAGTTGTTCTGAGATGCTAACTCCCATTAGTGATTTAGTTTTGAATATTTTAATAGCTATAGAAGCACGATAGGACAGAAGGGGTTAACTAAGTAGAGATAAGCCCCTGGAACCCTCAAAGGAACCAACACAACTTCACTCCCCTATTGTTATCCTCCCCTCTCTCTCCTATTGCTTGCAGAGAGGCCTCCCTCCACAGCAACACCATCCTAAGTGGATTTCAGTTTGGATAATTGTTTCCTATACAGAAATACCTTGTAATGGAATATTTCTGCCCTCCCCTTCTACCAAGCAGCGTTTGCAAGATTCCATGCACGTCTGTACAGTGTGCACACGCTGGCTCCTGTTTTGCTTTCAGTTGGGAGACCTGGTCTCAGAAACATGCATATATGTAATTAAAGTCTAAGCTGCAAATCTCCTGACTGAAATGATTTGGTTACTAGGGAAGGTTAATAGTAGCCATGGAATAAAAGCAGAAATAAAAAATATTAATATTACCTACCCGTAATATGTCATCAGCAAGTGTGCCCCTCCCTGGACCCAGTTCCACCAGCTGGAACGCTTCAGGTTTGCCCATGGCTATCCATTCACTGATATACCATATTCCTATTAACTGACAGTGAAGAACAACACAAGGACAGAGTTACAGTGTAACTTGAGAGCTTGCAGAAAGTGGTACCTACCTGCCTGTTGTTTGGTAATAACTAATACTGAGCAATAATCTCTATTTTAAAGTTTTGAAAAAATCATTACGATGCTTTACTTCATCCTCTTAAGTATTAAAACCGCAGCTGTTTGCTGTCAGCCCAGCAGAAGCAACTCTCCCTCATGAGACACGCAGGACTCCTTTCTGGCTGGAGCGAGGACTTTTACTTAAGGCTCAAATGCATCTTGCTGCCCAATTGCCGCTGAACAACTGTTTTTCACCACAATACATTTACCAAAGTGTCACTAAGCACAGCGTTAGGCCCGTCTTCACTACTGGAAATGATACACAAACCAGAGTGAACCAGACCAAAATCTGAAAACTATTTCTGAGTAGTTTTCACACTGGGAAGCCACCATAACTCTTTTTATTTATAAACACGTTCTGTATGAAAATACATTACTGAGCCAAATTATAACCCAAGAAAGGACTTCCTGATCTTCCAGAGAAACGAAACACCCCTTCCTCCTCCAGAAACAACTGTAACTTAACAGTGAAGTTACTTAGGACACACGGAACTGTGCGTTACCTCTCCAAATATCTGACTTATTTCAGGTGAGGTGACGAAATCCCCGCTCTCGCCGATGCCGCCGCGGCGCGTATAGTAACCCTGCGGGGGGAGAGGGGAGAGGAGCCGGGGGCCCGGTGAGCGGCACTACGGGCTCCGGGAACACAGGCCCGGCGTCCCCGGCCCGCAGGCCGCGATGGAGCGGAACCCCCGGCCCCACCCGCACCTGGCCGGGGTTGGTGAGCGCCTCCCGCATGTACTCGGCCACCGTCACCGGCCCGGTGGCCCGCAGCTTGAGTAGCAGGTGCCGCAGGATGGCGGTGGCCCGGCTGGCCCCTTCGGGCTCCGCCTGGCCCCCCGCGCCCGAGCAGGGCCGCGCCGCCGCCGGAGCTGTGGGGAGAGGAGAGAGGGTCGGGGGGCTCAGCGGGGCGGCTCGGGCCCCG